AAAACACATTTCATTGATCGAGGTTCAAGTTTATCAAGTTTCGTATGACAAAATGCAGCAAAACCGAAAACACGCAAGTTTAAAAATCAATTTCCTTACCACCAAACAAACTCAGAACACTTACCATTCAAAGGCACAGAAGGCGACCTATTTATCAAATAAGCAGCAGTTAAAACAGCCTCACCCCAAAACGTTTTTGAAAGACCCGAACTAGACAACATACACCTCACCCTTTCAAGTAAAGTTCTATTCATTCGCTCGGCAACACCGTTTTGTTGAGGGGTGTAAGGCACGGTTTTATGCCTTTGAATACCAGATCGAGCACATAATTCATCAAACAAATTATTGCAAAATTCAAGCCCATTATCACCCCTAAGAATTTTAATCTTTTTACCGGTTTGGTTTTCAATCAAGATTTTCCAAGTCTTAAACGTTTCAAACACATCAGACTTCTTTTTCAACAGGAACACAAAGACCTTCCTAGAAAAATTATCAATCACAGACAGAAAATACTTACTCCCGCTATGTGTTGAAACACTAGCGGGACCCCAAACATCGGCATGCAAATATTCAAGAATTTCCGAACACATAGAGGGTTTAGGGGAAGGTGAAACAGAAAACTTCACACGTTGTTTCTTGTCAAGTACACAAGAATCACAAAACGACACACAGGATAATTTATCTTTACCAAAACAGCCCGCTTTATGCAAAATTTCAAGACCACGACTACTCATGTGACCTAAACGTCTATGCCAAATATCAGTTTGGTCCTCATGAGCAGCATTCACAGAAATTTCAGCATGTGATTCACAAGTAGCAGTACAAACATACAAGGTTTTCCTTTTTTCATCTTTGAAATTAACCAATGAACCTTTCGTAGTTTTCATAACTCCTTTACCCCATTTACCCTCTAACCCGTCATCCTCAAAGGCAGCAGATGATATCAGGTTATGGCACAAGTCGGAAACATGATGAACATTTTTCAAACAAAGCATATAACCGAAATTAAACTTAAGGCACACATCACCAATACCAGCAACATCACAAAGTTTTTCATTTTCCATAGAAACAGAGCCATTTTTAACCTCTTTGTAATTTGAAAACAAATGTCTAAAACATGTGAAAAGTGCAACCGAAATCAACAAGCCATTCATGTTCACAAAGATAGGAATGCATAGAATTCACATCGACATGCATATCACATATTTCAGTCACCACAAACCCATCAACAAGATTATCACTACACGAGGCCACATTAGCTTGATTCTTTTTGGATTTAGTGCACTCTTTAGCATAATGCCCAATGTCCCCACAATTGTATCACTTACGATTCTTCGGACGGGATTTAGAATGACTTTTTTCTTTACCCTTTTTTCTTTTCAGCAGGTTGGTTGCCATTATTATTAGAGGGCTTTTGATTTTGAAATCTATTTTGTTGCCTCCCTCTAACAAAATGAACCTCACCCGAATTTCTACTCCCATTATGCGCTTTTAAATCTAATTCTTTACCTTTTAACCCATTCACAACAGTGTCAAGCGTCTCATTGTCCCTACCATACTTAATAGCAGACTTGACATCACTATAAGAATCAGGAATAGCATTTAAAAGCACAATAGGAGTATAATCATCAATATGCTTATCACCGGTCAATTTAATGTCCTGAACAAGTTTAGTAAACACATCAAGATTCTCATCAATGTATTTCGAAAGATCAAGTTTAAACCGAAATTTTTTTTCAAGAAAGAACAATTTACTCGGCAATGAAGTTTCAGTGTACAATTCTTCCAACTTTTCCCACAGATCTTTAGCAGAATCAAGTTTACCAACTTTCGTAAGCACAGAATCAGACAAATTCAAGATAATTGACGAATAAGCAAATTGATCCATTTCAGCAATTTTATCTTTAGGCTCATCGGGTGAAAACGAGAATTCAACGGCTTTAAACACCCCCTGCTGAATCAAAATACCTTTCATTTTTTGTTGCCAAATCGAAAAATTAGATTTTCCGTCAAACGGGGCCAAATTAAAAGCCGGAAACAAAGCCATGTAGTTTCTATTCTAAATAGCCACACAAAATTCAACAATCAAAACACTCAGTTTTCAGCCCAAATCAGATTTTTCAGCATTTCAAATCACATAGATTTCAGCCAGATTAATATCAGCTCGATAAACACGCAGTTTTCAACACCAATTAATATCCAGTAACAAAAATAAGGCATACAGACTCAAACAATAACAGAAATTCAGCACCAAGCAAATTTCACCGAAATTAACACAAAGAAGCAAAAAATACGAAATTTAATGCTTGAAACAATGAGAATAGCCACAGGCTCAGAACAACAAGGATAAACACATTTACATATAACATGCATGTCTAACCTAGTGATCTAGCAGCTAGTTTCCCAACAAGCAATCCCCGGCCAGGGGCTATAACTACGAAAGTGGTAAAAGTCGAGTTTAAGGCAAATTAACAGAGCAAGCCCTACGTGTTAAGTGCTCGACTTACCTATGCGGTGGCAAGACGGCTCACGCTCTGATACCACTGTTGTGTGGCAGTCCCGAACCCACCGCTTTAGTCATCGGCAGCGGAAGCTTCGTCTTTTTGCTCATCTGACCGCAACACGCCTTCTCAAGCCCGATAGAGGTGCTGGTCGTGTCACAGGCCTCCCACACAACCTTCTTTTAGTCCCGGGCTGGTCCAAGCACTTTGACTAAATCCCGATATTAGCCTGTTTCACCTGAATGCAAAACACACGATTAAGTCCTAATGAAAAACAATAATCGAATTGATAATACACTAAGTCAAATATGATAAAGGGCTGAAAATCGAAAATAAAGGAGAAGAACTTAGATTCCGTTTATTTCGTCGGGATCTCACCGAGTAATGAAGACCCGGAGTCTCCCAGCTCAGATCGTCCCTTTTTCCGGCACCCTCAGTCAGTTCGCAGCTCGGTGGTGGTCAAAGAACGGCAGCCCCAATTCCTCGGCCTGTTCCCCGGGCTGCACCTCACACACAACCAAACCTCAACCTAGCCCCGTTTCCAAGCCCTCTCCTCCGTACACGGATTCACTCGAGGCACCACGAAGGGCCTCTGACTGAAGAGAGGAAGAGGCGACAACGGCGGCTCAGCGGAAACACTCCGGTTGCTCACACGGCGATACTCACGACGACAATTACACTCAAAGGTCATGAAGAAGAGAGTGAGAGAACAGAGAGTGAGAGAGACAGAGATCGGGTTTCTGTTGCGAAGCAAGACAGAGGAGAGTGTGAGAGTAGTCTGATTAGGGCAAATGAGGGGATGGGGGTTTTTATAGTGTAAATGGGTGGTTGGGATTTAATCTCTAAATCCAATGGTCATCCTCCATTCTGCCAATAATGTGTGTAAGGGCCAGGCCCAGTTGAGAATTGAGCCGAGACGTCCTTGGGCCTGAGATAAAGATTTGGTGTTTTGGGCCAAATATCCCAACATTATAGTTGAAATTTTGTAATCTTTATAGTAGAGAATTGGAACTCGTCTTAATTGAGAAAATTGCAAATTTGGTTCCAAAACTTTTGCTGTTTCCCACATTTGGTCCCAGACACGCCAATTATGGTCCTTTTTGAATTTTTGTTGCCAAAATGGTCCCACTCCGTCAAGACTTAACGGTCAACGTTTATGGCCTGGGACCAAATGTGGGAAACAACAAAAATTTTGGGACCAAATTTGCAATTTTCTCAAAGAGTAAGTGATAAAAATTATTTAAATTTATTTTTATTAGAAACATTTTTTTAAAAAGTTTTTAGTAAATGTTAAAAAGGTATATTACCATTATTTCCTAACAATACATTTAGTTTATTTTTTAATAAATTATAAAGATAAATATAACTAATATACAATTCTTTCACATTTTTTAACTTAAATTAAAGTTTAACTTGATTTTTTTACATAAAATGATTATTTAATTGGGTAACTTAACAAAAGGTGTATAAAATAATTTTATTAATTAGTTCATGATAAATGAGATGCAAAATATATATATATATATATATATATATATGATATATTTTACTATAAATTAGTGAGAGCAAATGTCTATTTTCACTTAATTTAATGCCAAATTTTATTTTATTATGCTTAAAATTTAAATATTTTATGTAAATGTAATTTGCATGAATAAATAGATTTTTCAATTTATAGTTGTCAAAATCAAATTGATAAATAAAAAATTATTAAAATAAAAATAGACAGTAATAAAAAAAATTGTTTAGATTAGGTTTTTTTTAATTCGTATTATTTAATAAAGTTTGTAAGGATATATATATAAATTATCACATTATACTAATATTTAAAAGTGTAGACGGATTAGTATTATTGTAAGCATACTCACATTTTTTCTTATTTTGATAAATTGAATTATGTCTTTTTGTTTGCTTTATTAAATTGAAATAATATAATTTCTAAATATTCTTTAACTTATATAATATTCAAATAGTTGCTAATATTTTTTAAGTAATAACGGTAAAAATATTAGAAAATAAAATAAATACCACACAATTAGCAATTATATCGTTTACTCTTCTACCCAAAATTAAAATTTATCAACGCCTTTACTTTTTCACCCGATATTTATTTTTATAAAATTATTTTTAATATTTATTTCTCGCATAATATTCATAGTAAATTAATTTTATTATGTCATTTCGACTTTGAGTGAATGAGAGAGACTTGAAAAACTTGAAGAACTCGTTTTTTTTTTTGAAAAATTGCAAAATTGGTCCCAAAATTGTAAAATTGGTCCAATCTAACGTCCTCACACGAGCTCCGTCAATATTGACGGACGTGGAACTATTTTGGAAACGAAAATTCAAAAAGGACCATAATTGACGTGCTTGGGACTAAATGTGGGAAACAGCAAAAGTTTTGAGACCAAATTTACAATTTTCTCTATTTACAATTTTCTCTTTCTTAATTTACTCGGCTTAAAATACGGATAATGATGTTTTATTTAAAATGAAACAAAACAAAAGGCATTTTTTATCCGAAGCCTGATACTTCCCGAAGATGAGGAACAGATCCTCTTCTTCTTCCTCAACTGCCTTCTCTTGTCACTTGAAGAACATCATCTTTCAATTTCTACTATTTGTCATTTATTTCCTGTTAAATGTCGAAATTGGAAATAGTTTTAATCCCTTTATTCAGCTCCCAACATCAAGAAACCACAATCCCAGCAGCTCCAAGATTGTCCTTAATGTCAATGATTTTGGTGCTAAAGGAGACGGAGTTGCAGATGACAACAAGGTATAAAACTCTCTCTCCCTCTCCCCGCATCAGAATTTTTTTTTATTATATAATCAAATTGTTGTTTAGTTTCTTTAACATATTATAAAATTCTTGTTTTTTTATATTATTTGAATTGTAAGATAGAATGTTTGATTGTTGATTTTTAATAGCTGGCTTTCAATTTCATAAGCCTTCTTATGATGTTTTTAATTGGATGGTCATAATGTTAGAATTCATCAGAAAATATTATTCTCTCTATTTGCCTTTCTCCTCCTTTTGTTGTTGTTGTTTGTTACTTGATTTTGGGGCCCAACAGGTTTATGATCAATATTTTAAGGATTTAACTATGAGGGAATAACGAGTAGCTACCAGTGGTTTTGTAGTGTTAGAGTTTTGTTTTAGTACTTCAATTTTGGCTGTTAGGCCAATTTTGATCATGAATGGTGGTGAAAGAATACCTTCCAGAAGGATTTACACGAGTACAAGTGTTAAATTATTGCATCAACTCGACCAAATTACAACTGGGATATATGTTTTATGTATATAGGCTGTTTTTGTGAAAGTGCCACAGCCTATAGTCGCCCAAAAATAAGCTTCAAGATATTTCNGAAAATTACCCGATTTCTTAGCTTTCACTGAGTGCTTATATGCCACATTTTGAGAATTTCACAAAACTACCTTATTATCCATTAAGTGTTTTTTTTTTCTTTTTCTTTTTGTGGTTATTGTTTGTATGTTTTCCAAAGATAAATATTTTGTACATACCAATCTTACATCTACTTAAAATCATTTTAAGGAACATTTTTATCATCAGCGCAATGCATTCCCATCGCAGTTAAAAAGTTCACCTCGCAACTTAAAATGTTTTAAAATTTTGTTGCTCGTAGATTTTTGAAGATGTATGGAAGGTGGCATGTTCTTCATCATTGCCAGCAAAAATTGTTATTCCTGCAGGAAGCTCCTATCTTGTGAAACCAACCGACTTCGCTGGGCCCTGCAAGTCGAATATAACCTTGAGGGTAAGATCCCGAACAAAACCACTTGAAAATGTAATGGAGAACCACATCCACAGGTTCAGTTCACTGACTGCTAGTAAATACTTGAAATCTTGTACATCATATGGGATGATTGTATGTACCACACTTAGGCTATGTTTGGTAGACAAATAAGCTAATTATATCTTATTTGGTTAGCTTATAAACTTCTTGCATTTAAATAAGTTCCGTTTGGTAGGACGAGCTTTTTTAAAAAGCTCGAGCTTATCTCATAAGCTTCTATGGGTAGCTTTTCAAATAAGCTCGTTGAAATTTTTATTTCAGGTAGCTTATCAGTTAATTTTAACAAACACTTTTATCATATAAACTAGCTTTTCAGCTATAAGTCATAAGATATATGCTATAAGCTCAAAAATTACTGATAAGCTATTAGCTAGCTTTATCAGCTAGTTTTACCAAACATAGCCGCCTTAAAGTGTAGCCTGATTACTTAAGAATCTAACTTATTCGTAACTACAATTCTTATATGGGAAAATAATTTATTTTTTCTAGTTTCTAATAAATAATTGAATCTTGCTGTAATCAGGCTGAACTCTAGTGTACTTTTATGATTATGCTGAAGCATATCAATTAACTGCATTTTAAAGCATAATTTGTAACATCCATAGATATCTGGGACAGTTGTTGCACCACGAGATCCTACGGTCTGGGATGGTTTAGATGTGCACAAGTGGCTCTATTTCCATGGAGTTCAGAACCTTACTGTAGAAGGAGATGGAGTAATTGACGGGATGGGCCAAAAATGGTGGGACCAGTCATGTAAGAGGAACGAATCAAATGTACTTCATCCGTTTTTCTCGTATCTCATTTTTTTATGGTTAATTTCAAGTGTACCCTTGAAGTTCAGCATAATCACAAAGAAGCCCAATATCTTTAAAAATCACAATTGCTCCCCTAGACGTGGGGTGATTTAGTTAAGACCTTGGCAGCATGTTTGTATTTTTCAAAAAATACCTGATTTTTTTTTCAGGTTGTTGGAGTGAATTTCAGGGGTAGTTCTTGCTATTTACCTTATTTGTGGACAAATACTTGGATTACTTGAAAAAGACATCTAAAACTCATTATGTGGTCTTTTTTTTTTCTTTGGCAGCCTTGTGTTCACGCGCCAACGGTTAGTATTGCTTGCAGTTTATGCTGTCTTAAACATGTTTCCTGCTAAACTTGTTAGATGTTTTTGTGCTATTTAATTTACAAATTGACGCTTAATGCAGGCTGTTACATTCCACAAGTGCAAGAGGTTGAAACTGAGGGATGTGTCCTTGGTCAACGGTCAACAGATGCATGTGGCCTTTACTAACTGCATGCATGTTTCTGTTTCGGGTCTCACAGTTAGCGCACCTGGTAATAGCCCTAACACGGATGGGGTCCACATAAGCACGTCTTCACATGTTGAACTCAAGGATGTTGTTATTGGCACAGGTGTGTCGATCAGAAATAGTGTACATTCTTGAAGGGGGCAAAGAAAAAAAAAAAGAAATAAATAGGATTGGTACAGCCTAATGTTACCCTTTAAGAAAGGTATACACTAATGCTAAACTTATGAAAGATTTTTTTATTTTTTTTAATCATTTTTGGGGAAGCTATCATTATTTTCGAAAATTCAGTTTTCAGCTTAGCTATAACAAGTAATATACAATCCACTTCTGATTGAAATTACCATTGATGCTTTTTCTGATGGCAAAAGAGTTTATTATAATTATGCCCATAATGGGGAAAGAAAAATCAGACTTCTTGGGTGAATGCAACCTTGAAAGTTTATGATTTTTTTTTTTTTTTTTNATTTTTTTTTTTTTTTTTTGGTAAGAAAAGGAGATGGGCAAACATCAATTGTAGTATTCTTTTTGATGATGATGAAGACTGACTAGTCATTCGTTTGATACACCTTCTGAACTAAACTTTGCTAAATTTCCTCAATCATTTTTCTTAATTTTGTGGCAGGAGATGACTGCATATCCATTGTCAGCAATTCTTCGCGAATTCGTATAAAAAATATCGTGTGTGGCCCTGGCCATGGTATTAGGTATTAGTTATAGTTATTCGCGTATGCTCAACCATATTCCTGGAAATTGCTGTAGTTGATATTTTGGTTACTTTACAGCATTGGCAGTTTGGGAAAAAACAATTCATATGCTTCTGTGAAAGACGTTATTGTTGATGGGGCGGTGTTGTTTGATACTGAGAATGGAGTCAGGATCAAAACATGGCAGGTAATCTTTAGTATGCATATATGCGTGTGAGTGTGTGATTCAGAATCATCTTTGGAATTATTAAAACATCATTAGTGTATAAATAAATCTATAACTCTTAAATAGTTATAGTTGTAGTCTATTGTCAATGTTCAGAATGTATTGATCTCTTAATTAAACTAGTATTTGACCTTGTGCAGTGTAAATAGAATATTATAACTTACATTTATGCATATAGTATTAAAATTATAAGTTATACAATGATATTATACTTTAAACATTGAGTATTATAAGTTATATTTATGCATATAATAATAAAAATATAAATTAGATAATGATATTATGTTTTAAGATTTGATCATTGGTTAAAATAAATAGTATATAACTATTTGATTGCATATGAACCACTATATTAATTACATAAAATATAATAAATAATATAATTTTGAGAGATCGCCAATTTATTAGCTTAAAAATATTAAATTTATTATAACATTTGATTATGCGATTTTAAGGAATTTTAAAGAACTTATATAAAAATACAATCACTAACTAAGATAAAAAAAATATAATATTAATTTTAGAATAAATAACTTCAACAAAAACTTTACAATAATTTTTTATGTTTATGTAACTTTCATATATCATTTAGTGTAAACTATAGTTATTAGTTTTAATAATAACTATTATATGATATAATAAAATAGTATAATTATTACTCCGTTAATATAAAATGTAACGGTTTTTGTCTTAAGTAACCTTAAAAAAGGTGCAATGAAACATTTTAGCATTAATTAGATATGGTGGATTAATAATAATAATAATAATAATAATAATAATAATAATAATAATAATAATAATAATAATAATAGAAGATTGTAACATAAAAAGATGGTAAACATAATTAATATTATTTAATTTATTGTTAGCAATTAAATATAGACAGAGATATATAAATGATAAAGTTTGTAATGGTTTTTGGAGGGAAATCGAAATGAGGTTTTATTAAATGCTATTAGCCAGCATATAGATGTGAGCAATTATATATATATATATATAGATGTGGGCAAATGAATTTCAAATCATCATTATCAACTCTAAAATTTAATATATATTGTTAATATTAATTATAGTTGAATGGTCATGAATGATCAGTGTCATTTTTAAAATTTAGTTAAAACCCACTGGAGTATATATCATATGTAACAAGTCGATACAGTAATAGTCAATTTTTCAATGTACAAATACAATTTTTATGTATTAAACAACCCACTTTTTTAAGTTTTATACATTTTATCACTATAGGGCTTTAAATCCCTATAATAATGAAATGGGATGAAGTTCAATTTTTAAATTATTACTATATATCTTTATAAGAGAGAGTTGTTTCTTAAAAATATTGAATTGCCAAAAATGCCCTACACTATAACTTAACTTATTTCTAAGGTTACCAATGTAATTTTGTCACAATATTTAGGGAGTTACAAATATTAATAGGTACAATAATTTTTCAATCATTTATTTCCATTTTACTTTACTTTTATTCTTTGTTTTATCTATAACCTTATTAATCTTTTTTTTTTTAAATCTTTTTTATGTATTCAATAGTTTAATTTCGTTTAGTTGATGTGAAGGCGTTAAAATAATCTAAACAAATATACAAATTAGGAAGAAAGAAATAGAATAAAATTTATTGAAAAACTAGTTTTTAATGTAAGAGAAAATATTATTTCAAGATTTTGTAAATAAAATATATTTTATTTCATAAGTGTAAAATATATAAAGCACATTATCTCTACATCATATTGTTTTCTATAGAGATATTTCGTTAAAGTATTAAAAAAAATTAAAGTGGAACAATTTAGTGAGCATGCATATCAACTTTAAGAATTAAAAAAAAAAAAAATTCAACTTACAATATGTCAAATTTATGTAAAAATATTTATTCGTTTATTGAAAATATAGAATCTTTTAGAAGTATTTTGTTTAAATTATTCGCTAAAACAATATGCATAATATGATTTGTGTTTATCTGTATAGTATAAATGTTTTTTTATGATAATATGTGTTATATAAATTAATTTGCCATTTACTTTGATTGTAATATAAATAAAAATAGAGTAATTATAAAAAAAATAACTAAAAGTCGATTTTAAATAATGAATTTCAAAATAAGTGTGCTTATTAGAAGATATACAGTTACAATTAAAATCAATTAAGTAAATATAAATAGTACATTTACTTTAAATTTGTTGTCATTATCCAATCTTATTTATGAAAGCTTTCATAAATTAAAATTTTCAAATCACTTCTCAACAGGGAAAACAAACTATATAAAAATATTAACAATGATATAAAAATAATATTAAGATAAAAGTAAAATACGAAAGACTCATCATTTTATAATTAATTTAAACTGGAATGTTCTATTTCTTTACATTTAGGATAGCCTTGAAAATATAAATATATTGACGAAGATATAAAAATAATATTAAGATAAAAGTAAAATATGAAAGAATCGTCATTTTATAATTCATTTCAACTGGAATTATTTATTTTTTTCCATTTAGGATAGTCTTGAAAATCCGTGAAGGAAATAATAATGCATGCATGACAATGGTAGGAGATGCAACAACATTTTATGTTATGTTGGACAATATATAGATGCGTACCTTTCATTGGAGACAGTTCCAGAAGTTTTGTTATGCTAAACCACAAGGCTTGTTTATGTAATTAACCCTTTTTTTACTCCTTGTTTTCTCTCTCGCTCTCTCTCATCTATATTGACAGGGAGGCAGTGGTTTTATAAGGAAAGTTACTTTTCAGAACATATGGATGTACAATGTTTCCAATCCCATAATAATAGATCAATATTACTGCGACTCTCGGCTGCCTTGCCTGAATCAGGTACACAGCGTGCTTCAAGTATCAAAAACGTCTTTTATACTAAATGCAAAATTTGAAAAAAGGGAAAGAACTAACATGCAAAAAGTGTTTGCCTTGGATTTCGACCCTTGTGCCTTTGGAATTTTTTTCTTAGTCTATTAGTGTATGAAAGTTACGTATGTAGGTAAGTTTGGTGAACTCTACAAGTATGCCATATCTATGTTGATACATTTTGCCCTCACTTCTCAGCTATTTCCAGTTTCATCAATCATAAAAGAAATTTAGAAATATATCACTTGCTTAGCTGAAAGGTTCCACCAAAGATAGTTTTTGACCTTTTTCTTTTTCTTTCTTTTTTTTTTTTTCAGCTCTTAGGGAGCCAAAACCTTCCCTGGAGTTTAACCTAACTACCAAAAAAAGCACCAATTATCTTTCGAAATCTCAAGCAACTCCTCAGAGTTGCAAAATTCTGTTGTGACAAATATATTTCTAAGCCGTGTAGGTATATGTTTGAAAGAAATTTGTAAAATTAGAAGCCAAAATCTAAGCCGTGTAGGTATATGTTTGAAAGAAAGATGGCCTTTTGTGTTATCAGGCTAAATCATGAGAATACTTTTTGTAACTAAACCCTTTTCTCTTGCAAGGAAAACATTAGCATAAAGAATACGAATGCCACTGAGTCAGTTGCCCAGCAATATTCTCAGTTCACGACCACAGTTTGTCAATTACATGTTCTTTACTGTCTTCTTAAGAAAAACATGTCAAGCGACCCCATTTGTTTTTGCAATACTTACCCAGCTAGGCCCTCATATTAAAACAGGATCAACTTCCATCTTTCTTTCTTTCTTTGTTTATTTCTTCTTCTTCTGTTTTTGTTTTTATGTAATCATCCCTATTTATATCTTTGTCTGGTCTTAAAATCATTAATGGTACAGACATCTGCCATCAGCATCAACAACATTGCATTCCGAGGAATCATTGGTACATCTGCAACTGAGGAGGCCATCGAGTTTTCATGTAGCGAGAGCAGTCCATGTAAAAAGCTATATTTAGAAGATATTCAACTCATATCTCTATCTGGGATTGTGAAGTCATTTTGCTGGGAAGCGTACGGCACAAGCTCGGGTCTCATAGTTCCACCTTCTTGCATTTCATCTGAAGAAAAATTATCATTCGACAAAAGTAAGGGCAGTCCAAACTCGACAAGCTTGTGGAAAGATAAATGATGAAAACTACGGACATACATCTTTTGTGAATCACATACTAGTATATGAGCTTGTGCGATGCACGAGAAATCAGTATTAAAATTGTATAATAAATTAAATATATAGATAATATGGATCATGGTTTACAGTACATTACTAAAATTATAGGGAAAATTACACTTTGCCTACCGAACTATTCGCGTTTTTACACTTTGCCCACTCAACTTTTTCCGGTGACACTTTACCCCTTGAACTTCAAATATTCTTGCACTTAATGACTTCCGGCTACCGGAGATGCAAAATCAAGGGCAAAATCGTCATTTATACCTTAGGAGACACCTCAAATTAGTCTTTACGAGTACACTTTGCGTACCGAACTATTCGCGTTTTTACACTTTGCCCTTGATTTTGCATCTTCGGTGGCAGGAAGTCGTTAAGTGCAAGAATATTTGAAGTTCAAGGGGTAAAGTGTCACCGAAAAAAGTTGAGTGGACAAAGTGTAAAAACGCGAATAGTTGGGTAGACAAAGTGTAATTCTTCCAAAATTATAATACACATCATTTTTTTGACATAAAATACTAATAAAGTGATATAATATTCATAAATTATTGAACATCTTTCATAGAAGTATTCTTGATTTGAATATTTGGACTCTATTATTCTTATAGTACAACAAATAATTTGGTTCAACCAAATTGACTAATAATGTGACTGGAATACAACCCAAGTTGTGTTATATGTTTGGATTATTTTACTCCCGACTTGAAAGTGACCCAAGAAACCTAAGTAGTAATTGAACCTGGATGATCCTTTTTTTCCCTTGACTAGTACAGTCCCCGTGCAATGCACGGAGGTTTATTATCTCCATCCCTTTTATAAAATAATGTTCAGTTAAAATTCAAACTACTTACTAAAGGAAAGATCATGCCATTAATAATAAATAAATTAATAAATACAATGATAATAAAATCTATATTTTATTAAACACTTTCTTATATACAACATTCATGGTTTGATTCTTTAGCACGTCATCATCGCCACAAATTAGGACTTTCAAACCCATTTCTGTTTGTGACACGGGAGACAGCAACATACAATTGGTCATGACTAAACACTAGTTTTTTATGAAATAAGCGCACATGTGATAATGATTGTTTCTGGCTTTTATTTATAGTCATGTTGTAAGAAAACATAATGAGAAACAATCAATCCAATAACATCTACAAAAATATAAGAAAATGCATCATATTGAAATGTATAACATATAAAATAGTTTATTATAGATTTTAAATTAAAAAAAATCGAAATAAGAAATAAACAAAAAAATTATAACGTACCAAACAACATGACTTCATCAATGTTACGAACATCCATTAAAGTTAGAAATAGATAAATCATCCATCCATTTGATAATCTTAGTTTGGCCATTGATAATGATCCTCCTTTTCTCTATCGTCGATTTATGGATGCAAATATTGCTTTCCACTTGATAGTTTGTCAAGATATAAGCGCCACCTTCTTCAATATCACCGATGATTTTTTGGATATTGACAGGTCGAATTATGCCAGTAATTCATCCTCCCTAAACATCGCATAATGAATACTTCAATAAATAAATTATAAAAGATGTTGCATAAAATGATGCATTTAAATAATACTAAATTAATATATTACCTCAAAATCATGAAAGATAATCTCAAGAACATTTCGGTAATTGCGTACGTCTTCAACTTGTTGGAACATCCTAATTATGTGTAGCTTGATTGGTGGCTTATTGGATCTTTTGATATCCTTGATTACTCCAAAATCTGAAGTCATTTTCAATGCTGATGTAAAAGCTTGTAGAAAAAATTGTTTTGGGGGATATATTGGAATTCGAATACTTTTTGTTCAACGTTGGTGATGTTTATATAGTCATGTGTATGTGCCATATGTCTGGGAAATAAAAATATATTTACGTAAGTTATTTAATATGATCCGATCCGATTTTTTTATTATGATTATGATTGACTTCTAAAAGTATGTGTTATGGGTTTTGCTAAAAAAAAAGTGGAATGTGATTCACTTGTGAGGGACGAACGAATATTTAGAAGATTATGTAGCAAAAAATAATGGAGTTTGTTACAGTGAAATTTGGTAAGACTTTTTGGATAGATTGAAAAATAATATTTTTACTTTGATCTATTTATCTGGACAAATCCAAAAATTTAATTTACGAAATTATAATCTTTAATTTTTTGAAGCATGTAAAATTTTCTAAGATAACTTCTATAAAACAAAATGTGATCAAATCATAATTGATTTTTATGTCTCAATATTCCAAATCAAACCTTACAAATATGGTATGCTTATTTACTATTAATATTTTATTTTTTCAAACGTCTGATTCTCTTAGGTTTATATGAAATAAAGTTCAATCAAATCAAAATTGATTTTTATGCTCACACTAAAACCTTATCAATATGATATGTTTATTTTATTTATTTATTTTTTTTCAAATCCACGACTCAAATTTTCGAGAGAGAGAAAAAAAAAAGGAAACAAAATCTTATCAAACCTTATCAAATTTTCGAGAGAGGAAAACAAAACAAAACAAAATTGGAAACAAAATCTTATCAAACCTTATCATAATGAAGATTCGTGGTTCCATGAAAAGCTAACAAAATTTCGTGGTTACCAAAATCCTATCAAATTAGTTAAGAAAATCTCATTAAATTGGTTAACAATATTGGAACGCATTTTGTTAGAAAAGATTTATGTCATTTATCTATCTAATTAATATCATATTAACGTGTGGGCCCAGTGATATTAATTTAGTATAGCATCCATTATCTCAGAATAATTTTTTGTTTGATTTACAACATTAATTTGAATGGAAAAATATCCGTAATTGTTGAGATATATCTCAATTCAAAATCTCAATTTTTTGACATAAGAATCTTCAAATTTGTTACCAATAAAAATAGAGTCCTATGGGATTAACATTTAAAATGAATTAATTTTTTGTATAAGAGTCTCCAAATTTGTTACCATAAAAATCTTCAATTTGTTACCATAAGAAACCCATAAAAATCTCCTATGGATTGGAGCCTATCAATATTTAGTATAACATCCATTATTCTCGGAACAATTTTTTGTTTGATTTCCAACATGAATTTGAAGGGGAAAAAATCCGAAATTGTTAGGATATCTCAATTCAAAATCCCAATTTTTTGGCATAAGAATCTCCAATTTGTTACCATAAGAATCCCATAGAAATCTCCTATGGGATTGGAGTTTATCAATAGTTGGTATAACATCCATTATTTTTGGAATAATTTTTTGTTTGATTTACAACATTAATTTGAATGGGAAAATGATCCGTGATTGTTGGAATATCTCAATTCAAAATCACAATTTTTTGGCATAACAATCTTTAAATTTGTTACCAATAAAAATAGATTCCTATGGATTAATATTTAAAATGAATTAAATTTTGGTATTCAAATTTGTTACCATAAAAATCTCCAATTTTTTTGGGATATCTCAATTAAATTTGTTACCATAAAAATTTCCAAATTTGTTACCATAAAAATCTCAATTTTTTTGGTACATGTGTTTTTTTCGAAATTTCCATTAATAGTAAGTCAAACTATTTATTTTTTTAGTCAAACTTACTATAAATGTATTTTTCCAACAACCTCTTTATATTACTATAGATATGTTTAATTCTATGTAACAAAAATAATTTGTGATTCATGTAGTAACTGTTTATATCAAAGGACAATAAATGAATATTCTAAATGGAAGAGTTAAAGAAAAATTAATTACTTTTTACTTAATTATTTGTAGAACAATAAATATAATTTAAGATTTTGAAATTAATTAATAGATTATACACGAATATTGACATGGATTAGCATAAGCCAAGTTATTTTTGCATACTAATTAATTTGTTTGCAATATGTTATTCATTAGCTGTTAAATATCATAAATAGATGATCACTATAAGAATGTGATGAAATTCCAATGGAAAATTCCAACGGATATATATTCCAATGGAATTCCAATGGCAATTCCAATAGATATTCTCATGCTATTATTCTCGTTGGAATTTTTCAATAGATTCCAACAGAAATTTCAACAAGAATATTTCGTTGGAATGAGTTTTCCACTGGAATTTCTGTTGGATTTTGATGATTCCAACGGTTGAAATATGGGTGAAATAAAAATTCCAACGGAAAATTTATATTCCAACGGAAATTCCTACGGTAAAAATGCAACACCCCGCTAACTAGGGCCAATTTTTTCGCAAATTTTAACTCTTTCGAAAACGCTTATAAATTTTTCGAAATCATTTGCAAACTATCTCGGGATGCTGCTAAGGACTTTTCTGCTTAAAAACCCGTTTCTTTAACCTAGGTCTAACAACTGGTTTAGACTTAAAGAATTCAGGTTTATATTTTTACGAATCATGCATATTAGTCTGGACCCGTTCGTACTGGCGAACCGGGTAAAATTATTTAAGTCTGAAAATAGCATCATGCATGTTCGAAAATAAACACAAGCATAGCGGAAGTCTGAAATGCGTGGAATTATTTAGTTTACAAACAGTTTAAACAAATGTCCCGGGAACAGCTTTCGTGCGGAACTCACGACCACCACCACCACAGCTTGACTCACGCCTGCCCGCCGACCCTGCCATCTGAAAATATAAAGTGGGGGTGAGTACGGTCCACTTGTACTCCATAAAAACCCATTCTAAAGTAAACAGCAATATTAATAATGATATCACAAACTGGTATATATAAGTAAACTGTAACTCCCGGAACTCTCTGGCCGGTAACTCCCGGAACACTCTGGCCGGTAACCGTGTGCACACTCTGATGGTATAACTAGGGCAAACTGGGCCACCACCAGAACTTAGGGAAGGCAAACTTGGCCTTAACCCAAAGTGGATAAAACTCATATACATACCTGAACGTGATATCGACTATTAAACTCAATGTATAACCCAGACTGGGTCCCCACCTGATCGGTTTTGAAAATGAGTAAGTGCGGCTGTGCTGGTAGCTGACTCCTCAAGCTACATAAAAATATAAGCAAACAAATATACTAAGTACTATGCTCGTCATATGCTCAAAAATATGCTAGGATGCTCTACTCTATCAGATTACTCATCCGGATATAAAGGAACGCTCTAAGGGTTCACAGAAATAATTCTAAGTCCGGAAATAATACTGATATGCTTAACTGATCTGGTTTGGCTCGGAAAAATACTTAAATTTCGGAATA